AGCAACCCTAGATAACGGTCTGTTGGTCGATGTGATATTCATAGATTTTAGCAAAGCATTTGACAAGGTTTCACACGTAGGTCTTATGCAGAAGCTCACGAGCTTCGGAATAATAGGTACTGTACATGAGTGGATAGGAAACTTATTATGTGAACGCAGACAGATAGTGAGGGTCAACGGAACACTATCCGATTGGAAACCGGTCAAAAGTGGTGTACCCCAAGGCACCATCTTAGGCCCTCTGCTCTTCCTTCTCTACGCTAATGGTTACCGCTGTTGCTTAGGTCGTCGACATTATTGTTTGCGGATGATGTAATAATCTGGAGAGTAATAAGAAGTGAGGCTGATCATTTGGATCTTCAAGCTGACTTAGACGATTTAGTTAGATAAGCTCGAGTTTGGGGCTTAGAAATCAATGCTAGGAAGAGTGTACTAATGCACATCGGTCACGGTAATAGTTACCGTAACACTATTGAGGGTAAACCTCTTCCATGCGTTCAAGAGCATAAAGACTTAGGAGTAGTATTAAGTCATGATTTAAAAACAACTGCGCATTGCAAAGCAGCCGCTGTCAAAGGTTTTCGTGCGTTATGGTCACTTCGCCGAGCGTTCAAATCTTTTGACGAGGAAAAGTTCCGAATTTTATATCCCATATATGTTAGACCACATTTAGAGTACTGTATCCAAGTAGCTAGCCCGTGTCTGGTAAAGGATACTGACTCCCTTGAGCGTGTCCAGCGTGTGGGAACGAAATTAGTGAAGGGTCTTTCTAGACTCCCTTACGATGAGCGCTTAAAACGCCTAAATCTTTTCCCCTTGTCGTATCGTAGGACACGAGGTGACCTTATACTGGCATTTCGTATCTCTAATTATGATTTGGGTGTTAATATGTCTTATCTTTTTGCTCCCTCCAGCACTAATAATCTCCGCGGTCATAGCAAGAAGGTTCATAAACCACGATCTAATAAACTTAAAGTGGGATCCCGTTTTTCTCATCGAGTAGTCAATCATTGGAACGCCTTACCCGAACAAGTGGTATCAGCCCCATCAGTGAATACTTTTAAGGAAAAGCTGGACCTTCACTGGAAAGCAATGTGTCAGGATTAACACAGGTTCATCAACTTACTATCCTTATTACTGATGACTGACGACTGAAGATATTATTTCGAACATTTTGGTTTCTGTTTTTTTGGTTTGGTATTTGTGTGTTTTGATCGAGGAACCTATAAATTTGCAGGTTTGTTTTGTAATTGTTATAATTATTGTTTTTGGAACGACATTTGGTCGATTATTTGTGAATTTTGAATAAATTTGGTATCTAAATTGGAGCTTGTTTCTGTTGTTAATTTGGGTTCGTAATTTGTAAGATGATCGATTGTCCGTACTTCAATAACTAGAACGAGCAAAAGTTGGACGTAAGACCAAGCCCCTTCTATATGCAGATGATTTTAAAGTATTATATTCATTTTCTCGACATGAGCTGAAAAATATGCAAAATTGCATCAGCATAGAGCTTAACAAGGTAGCACAATTGTGCTCAAAATGACAACTGGAGCGCAATACAGATAAATGTGAATGGATGTGCTTCGGCGATACATCAATCAACCTAGATCTTGCCATAAATGAAGAAGTGTTATCTATGTTACATACAGTAGTAGACTTAGGACTTAGATACTCCCAAGACTTGTCGTTTACATAACAGATATTGAAACAGACCTCTAACTATGAACGTCTGATAGGTTAATATAACTCGAAGCCTATATAACACTGAGTCACGTATTTTAATGTACAAAGTTTGTGCTCGACCACCTCCAGAATATTGCACGTCTATTCTTAGAAGTGCGCGCATAAAGGATAAATTAATGCTGGAATCCGTACAGAGACGATTTACACTTCGTATTCTTGCAGCTGATTGTACCTTCACTTATAATTCTAGATATAATAAACTTGGGCTACCCCGTTTATGGAAGAGGAGACTCAAACTAATTCTCATCTTCTGCAAACTATTTAATAAACTATCGTTTACATCCAATCACGTGATTCAATATGCAGAAACCTCTCATTGTGACATCCGTAGCTCCTTGTCACCAGTGAAACGAACTTATTCCAAACCATCTCTTTATATGAATTACTTTACCTGTAAATTTTCCAGACTCTGGAATAATCTACCACAATCTATCCGTACGATAAAATCACCTCCATTATTTGTTCTCTGCATCGATGCATATTGCTCCTCTGAAAATGCATTGAATGTTCTAGCACCTGTGAATTTATCTCATTCCACAAGTGATATTATAGGAACTTTAGATGTTTAGCCATTCTTATTAGTGAATTCCCTAAGCAAAACCACCTACTTGTTGGCACTTAATGTTAACACCGTCCTTAGCAAGTTTAACTTATTTGAATAACATCAACAGTGTATCACTGTGTCACATGACGCACGCATTTTGGTAGACCTAATTGACATGTTTTAGTAATTACTGCATTGTTGTTCCATACTCTCTGTTTTCGTTTTAATTTCTCGAATTTTAGATAATTATCATTAATTCGCTCTGGCACACGAAATGACCTAAATTACCCCGTTCATAAATCAACAGGCTGTCCATTTAAGGAAAGTTAAAAGTTCCCAGCTGATGCATTGGATCGCTGTAATATATGTACTATCTAGACAATTACTGAACTAGTATACTTAAAACTTTCTTCTATCACATGTTTGTTCTGTACATCTGATGTTAATATTTATATCAAATTGATCATGCCTGTAAACTGGCGTGAATTTTGTTATTATTGTTTTCAGAATATGTAAATTATTACTATTATTATTATATGTAGTAAGCGATCAAGGCAATAGAATTTACTCAGCGAGGAACAATACCACTCTCCTATTAATTAGCGCCCTGGCATAAATTAGTGTTATTTCTATCTCATATATTTAAAGAATGAACAGTTTCACATGTATTTTTCATGTCGTATTATGTAATTGAAGTTGAACATTATTATTGTTTCTGTAATCTCAAACTGAAACTGAAATATATGATGACCTTGATACGCGGTTTTTTGAACAATCCGTTACACTGTGTAGTTCTGATTTTCCTACTTTGTACAGATTTAAGCAAAATGCGGTTAGCTTGTCAGTTTTTCTGTGAACGCTTTCAAATGAAAATGAGGATTTTGTCGAGTTAATTTTGATTTATATACACTTTTTATTAATATTTCTCAATGCTTTTGAAATGTAATTATAGGTATTTTTCTTACATTTCCAAATAATCCACATGATTTTTGTGTGAAAAGAACAGTGTATGAAAAGTCTAAGCCTCTCTTGTCGTGATTTTACTATTGTTGGTCTTTGTATGGAATATCACGGGCTGTGGACGGCTTTCAATGACGTGAATATAGTCCGCCTGAAACCCACGAAAAAACTATAAATTTCAGCCTAGGCTAGGGGTACTTTCACATAATTTAAAACGCTTGTTATTTGTTGTACAGTTTTTGTTTGTACCTGAGCAAGTCATGGTTTTTCCTTTTACACATCAGAAAATGTGATATGAATTCTCAGTCAGTTAAATCACTGAAGCTGTTTATAGTCCTAATTACTCAGGCAAACTACATAATATTTACGACAATGACTGAAACGCTGGGTTATACAGTTCCCGGTCTTTAACTAAACATATGTTTCCCAACTCTTATTCTCTTTTATTTACTTTCCTTGATGTTTAAACAGTATTTATATCCTAGGATATAACTTAGAAAGAACTAGTGTTATGTAAATCACTGCGCTATTGTCAGATATTTCTTTGGTTTTGTAGATCGAGAGCTTAGAGCATCTCTTGAGGTTTCCTATAATTGGATCCTCTGCATATTCCGAAGGTATCCCTCCATTTCGAGATGAACACTCGTGATTCGTTAATACTCTTCTAGCTTCTCGAGGCTTAAAGTGTAGTTTGTATTACTTTAATAGCGAAATCGCTGATCTTCTGCTCATTCTTGAACTTTTCCCACGTAGAAAGATAGATTCCCTTTAATATTTTCATGCCATCAAAAAAACGCTTTTGTGTTCGATACTTTTCGATGTGAGACGTGTGGTTATTCCACCATCATTTTTAGAAAAATAAGTCAACTTCCAAGATTATAGTTTTGAATGAGCCTTGGTGCCAGATTTTTCAAATAAAATCTGGACAGCATTTAGTAGAGTTTGGAGTGGTGATGGAAAGTAGTTTCAAAATTTTCTAGATTTCCTTAAGATATCAATAATTTATAAGATTTTTGACGCCTCTAGTTTCTCAGAGAAGTTTAGGATTTTATTCGAGCTTCCTAACCTCTGTTAATTTTAGACGATGAAACCTACTTTACAAGTAAACTGAACTTCTTACCAAACGTTTTTGTTTAGGATCTAGTTATATCCTCCTACTGCCTGTATATGAGTTCGGACTGACGAACTACTGGTTGGATGACGAGTAATTCAGTTAATAGTCTGCTTCTCCATACTGCGAGTTAGCATGTCGAATAGCTTAAAATTAATCTAGAAACAACAGGTACTTCTAGTTTTCACTTTTATTCACACCTCACACTGGATTTTGGCAAATTCACTTATCTCCTTTTTATACATAATCTTGTTTACTTCAGTATCTACTGTAATCTCTTTGATTTCTGTGCCGTTTTATCATCCAAAGTGAAACCATTGGGATCGAATACAGCCTAGTTTATCACCGGCATATAATAAATCGGGTTGATTACAAATAACACTGAAAAACTAATTGTTTCTAATTTTAATGTGTCCTGTGACTTCACAAACTAGTTTTTTTACAGGAGACATTCTTGATTGTTACAACAACAAGTTAGGTGTATGATGTTTTATAAGGTAACTTTAGTATACTGATATGTAGCGTTTCATGTTTAATTATGATTACGTCTTAAAAATTTCGGTGGTGTGTTTTTAATTTTTTTTTCTGTAGATAATAACTTTCAATCGAGTACAAGTCTTCCTAAAGTACTACAGCAAAATGAATTTATTCTGTATTATCCTATTAATTTTGGCATGTATGCCAAGAGTTTGCATTTACGGCAAAAGGTATCAAATAATCCATTTTAGAGCACGTTTGCATCAATCACTTTTTCAGATATTTATTTTATGATGTGTTTTATGGAGAAGGTTTCAATTTGAAACGTGATGTTTATATTCGGATTGCCAATACAGTACGGTAGGTGTGATTTTTTTGAATACAAAATGCATAAAATAACAACGCAATATATTTAATAAGTACGGAATTTTGCACCTCACTTTAAACTATACAATGTTTCGCAATAGGTGTAAATAATAGTGTCCACATGCCTAAATCCAATTAGACAAGGCTGGGTTTGAACTTTTAACTCGGTTGTTCAAGGTTCAGTTGTCCGACGATTAAGCTGTCGTTTCAGATAGTGATGTAATTATTGTTACTAGTAAGATGACATAATTCAAAATATTTTACAGAACAAATTTAATTTTTGTGTTCAAATAACTTTCTTTTTTAATTTCTCGCAAACATGACTATAGGTTGTTAAACTTTGATATTAGTTTGTTCACTTATCCGTTGTCTCTGTTTATCGTGACGTAAATTGCGAGTGTGTTTATTGATTTAGAACAACACAAATGTAAGTAAGGATCTTCTAATGGAAGTTTTGGCTTCAGAAAGCTGTTTTATTTCCACTCAGTGTTTGGATAGGAAATTAAATGTCTGAGTGTTTGTTTGTTTACTAATGCAGTTGTATTTCATCCTATTAGTTGCTTTTAGAGTAACTCAGTAGTATGAAGATAATTTATTCACAGTGCCTAATGTGTATTAGTTATTTGCATTGTTTTCATTATCATACATTGAACATGTTAACTTGGCAGATCAAAAAAAGCAATCAAGGAACAGTGGTGGAAACTAAACTATGATTCGAAAATTCAGTATGACGTGTTTTATTTAAAGTTCATGACGGAACTAATGTACCAAATACTAGTTTATTTACCCAGCTTTGTGGGCCGCTGTAAGTTCTGGTAGTACTTCTTAACTGCCCAGAGCAATAAAAAGAGAGAATGGGGTTTGAACATAGGATCTGTTGATGCTTCATCCAGTAAACTTCCATTTTGAAGTTTACACTAATTATCATAACGGATATTTGACTCGTTTCTTGTGTTTTATAGAGTTGCGTCAACTTCGTATAACGTTATTTATTATCTGAAGAAGCGACTTGTTCTTGGTTACTTTGACTTTCTAAGAGAAAATAGCGTGTACGAAATTTATTTTCTTGAGTTCTGTCTCTATAAATTCATAGGAGCTTACCCTTCGCACAACCTCGGATCACACGCCGATTGGGAAAGGTAATGAGAAATTCAACCGAATAGAACGCTTTTTTAGAGATCTTGAATGTCTGTTTTTCAGTATTTTTGCCGCATTATCTTCTTTAAACTAACTGTTCATGAAGAAAGTCTTCTTTAATGCTGTGAAAACTCTTTCACATCGTTGTTTTGGCTTCAGACTTTTTTCGATGAATCTAGGTGGATATCCATTGTTGACCAGTGTCTGCCTTAGTGTACCAATTTTGGTATCGATTGTATCCTCGGTGCGGATGCGTTTCATCCTTGAACAGAGAGAATGGATCAGGTTTCTCTTTTGCTTCAGTGAGAATTAACTTTAAAAATTCGTGTATTGACCATTCCATGTCGGCTTTCTATATATCATTCTTTGTAGGTAACCGTCAGGTCTCATTACTACCGAAACATCTAAGGAGTAAAATTCTGAGTCCGACTCTGATTTCATCGTGAACTTAATTGATTTATGACAGTCATTGAACGCGTCCAGAATGTCTTTGACATTGACATTTTTCTCACAAATAATGAAAGTGTCGTCTAAGTATCTCTTGCATAGATTGAAGCTTTCAATTATTGGTCCAAGTATAGTGTTTTTTTTAGTTAACACTAGTCATTTCATTTTGACTGTGTGAGGGCTATCATACTGCTCAGGTGTCTAGACCAATGCAGGTGGTTTTCGTAGGGGGCCACACCTCGAGCCTTTGACCCAAAGGTCTGACCCACATGGCAGTGGAGCATCATGAGGAGATGCAGTCCCATGGTAACCAGTGGCCAACATTTGGTTCGTACGTTATTTGTTCCTTCAGGATCCTGGAACCCATGTGCACCAGTGGTTTAGGATCAGGGTTTTCCAACTCCCCTGGATGGACTCTCCATGTCCACCAACCCAGTTAAAGCACCGGACATTCGCTTTTCGTCCTCTCAATATCGTAAATAACACCCCCGCCACGAGAAAGCAGTGAGTAGGACTTCCCTGTCAGAGGCTGTATATGCGTGGCCATGTGAGAGCATTTCGAGAGGGTAGACAGGCCCTCCTCACTCTCGGCCGTACCAGGGCATTAAAATGAAATGACAATGATTATTGGACATAAGTTGACATTAGTTCGTATTGAAATGTAACTACCAAGTGGATCTTTCTGAAGTTAGAAGCAGGGTGCTGAGTAATAATGGCAAACCAGTTGATGAGTTGGTGAATCCTTATCTATTGAGTTGGCCGAGCTATGTAGTATGCATGATCAACAAAGTTTCTTCTTTATACGCAATATCTGCTGATGTACGTATCGAGTCAAAGAGCGCTAGGGTTAGCCAAACTCAAAAGTGGCATCAGTTCATGAAATTCGCCTTGATAATTTCTTCTTGATATGCTTATGTGATGTGACAGCTTGAAATCTGTCAGGTACCACACTACTTACAACTAATTGACTTCATGAATGAATGAAAGTGACAATTTTGCACACATTCTAATCGCTAGCGGAAATCTTAGTTTGAAATTTCCCATTTATTTGTGTTTTTCAGTTTATTTATATTATCACGAATTTTTTACAGTCTTTTAAGAGACCCAAGCCAAATACCAAATTTTGCTCTACACGACATAAACGTAAAAAATTTAACTGGTGAAGATTGGATTCTAGTTTTACCACCTTGGGGTCCACTTCCTCATTGGTTCAATGACAGATCATATGAAAGATATACAAATCATAGTTATTTTAATAATTGGTCAGGCATTCCATGGTCAATGTTTTTTGATTTAAACAGTCTCTCATTATTTATACCAGTTATGGATTTAATTGAATTTCAACGCAGTAACGGTAAGTGATTTTGATTTCAATTTTTAAGAAATGCCTATTTATGCATAAACAATTAAGTAATAATATGCGGTTTATTTACCAAGTAAGGGTATTTACACCCAATTTTGAACAGGAGATTTTATGTGTATGAAGACTAGTGTGACTTACTGGCATTTTCTTACCAAGATAGGATAAAGTGTGTTAGATGAAAAGTTATTTTATAATCTAGGTGTTATGATGATGCTAAAATGATTGATAAACTGAAGCGATGTTTTCTTTACTAAATTTCAACCGATTAGAGTTTACGAGATGGAAACAATAAACAACAGACTAAATATTTGAATATGTACAAGAGAATTAAACTTGTCATCTGTATATAGAAATATCCAACCGAGGTACTATGAATTATCAGATACATGTTTAGTTTCTAATGGAAAATGAAAATCCTGAATTAATCGATGATTCTTTACTTCTTTCTGTTGTAACAATAAGAAGAATGAAGGTTATTACATTTATAAAGAATGAACTGCAACTTGTAGAAAATAAATTTCAGTTTTGTGTTCAGCTCACAATTATATACTTACATTGCTGGTTAAGTTCAACCTCGGCACTTATTATAAATCGTAAACATTATTAACTTTATTTGATATTAATAATTATTTCAGTCAGTCAGTCAGTTACTTTCAGCCTTTCCACACCACAACAACACGACGAGATGAAATCAAGAAGTCTAATGACAAAAGCAGTCAAAATAGTGTAGTAGCAACGATAATGTGAACGGATCAAGATTGGGAAAGTAGTTCTAAATAACAGAGTTTTATGGTATGTATGAAGGAGTATTAGTGTAAAAGATGGCAATAAGGGAAAGAATCTGTGCTTATTGCGAGAAGTTACGAAGCATGTACATAATACATGTACATAGCCTTCAATCATTCATTTACATCACTGGCCCTACATCTGCAACCTGAACCGGCTTCTCGTCTGTTCTCCAAGTATTCTGTCTACGCCGTGCTGTTGCTGTACTGATCTTCTCTCCGTTTGACGACTGTTACAACTTGGACACCACCTTCCGCCACATAATAACTTACAAGCAATCTTGTGAGTAGCGCCTGCTACACTAGGACGGAAGGCCAAGGGTAAAACAAAGACTAAACGTGTCTATACTACATTGTTCAATTCCGAAACGTGTCTCAAATCACTGGTCGTGCTTATCGCACGCACCCCACTTAGGTTGTCAAAATCTATCAACATGGATTCATTGATTGATGTCACATTTTGGTCGATGTTGGCTGTGGGCAAGCCTACTTAACGTATACAATATTATCATATGGTGAATTGTTTAAGGTTAGACACTAACACTGCTAGAAGCCGGCTCAGTGGTCTAGAGGTTAAGGGTTCGTGCACGAGACTGAAGGCCTTAGTTTCGACCACTGCGCGTGGAGTGCAGGATGTCGGCTGTTGATGAATCTCGTAGTAGGACGAGATGGCCACCCATTGCCTCTTGATTTCCAATGGTGGTCTAGGTAAGATCAGTTTATGATTTAAACTGTCAAAGTTCTACATTCTCCTCAAATCTCCCCTAATAACATGTTGGTTGATTGGTTGCGTACAGTCAGTCAATAGACAATGTTTGAACTTAGGAAGTGATTACATTGATTTTCGCACGTAATTTCGGACATTCAGTACTTTTTATATGAAAAAGTAAATGACCTTACTATTATTATTTTCCAAAAAACTGCATTCTTAAAATTCATTTTCATAAATTTAGTATTGGATTCACAACAATCATTATTAAACAGGTCATCCAATCATCCGTTGACAATCGATTTAGCTCTTCAGTTAGTTCGTGCAGATTTTAATGAAAAATTGGGGCAATATTCAAATGTTAATAATCGTAAAGTAGATTTTTGTCCATTCGAATTACGCGAATTATATCGATTAAATGTAAGTCGATGATTAACCAACCATCTTATGTTCATTTTAATGTTCTCGTCTCATGTTATCCACATCGTTATTAACGTATACAACTCTTCCGGTCATTTTCTCGTTCATTTAGCAAGTGAATGAGGGCTAGATATTAGATTATGACTTCCGTTAGATATTTTGTCTCAAGCCCTAATGTTCACTACGTATATGTTTTTCATCAGGCATATTAAGCTGTTCTATTGACATGTTGCTGATAATCCCAGATAGTTGGAATAGAATTTTTAATGAGAATTACGTTTTCGCTTACCAAATAAACGAAAAGTTAACTGAAGGTACTAAATACAACAGATTTATTTAAGATTGAAAACGTCATGGATAAACTCAGTTGCTTCTAAAAAAAATACTCAGTTATTGTTCTAACCAACTTTTGTTGATTAGTCACTCATATGCAACGTAGTAGGACCTGGTGAAAATACATTTCGGTTAAAATTAACACGTCTCACAGTAATACAGTGATCTAGCTACTGGATCATCATCTGATAGTATGGCTCTGACTTTAGTCAGTTTATTATGTAGCATAACAATCATCCAGGGATTTTGGTGATAGTTCTTTTACTCCTGACATGTAAGATTACATGATTATTCACTATCATACTATAAAAATCACCAAATAAGGATCGTTAGAACATATAATCTGTTAAATTTATTCACATTTTAAAGCATATACATGTATGCCTATCAAATCAAATATTGTATTGTGCTTGTGAACTGCTATACTAAAAATATTCATTAATTCAATTCTTATGTAGGACTCAACATTGTCATCATCATCATCATCATTCAGTCGACCAATAGAATTATTTGAAGGAAGTAGTTTTAATTTACAAAATGGTATATTACCAATGAAAGCATCTACATATGATTGTATCACTGGAGATTTAGAACCTGTTCATTTAGCACCATTCTTAATTCAATTAATTAAAAATTCTGAAAAGCCTATTACGTAAGTTTTTGTTATCCAGCTATATATATATTTTTTTATCAATGTATTTCAGTCAAATTTCTGTCGTTTACCCAAATAAATTGGTTTATTTTACAGCAGTTAGTTGACTGTAGTGATTTATTTAATTTAATTTGTAATAATGTACTCAATTGACAGGATATTTTTATGGGTTTTGTGGAGATTTTTAGAAATTTCACTGGTTGAAATCATGAGTCAATTGAAGCTAGACTACCATGGAAAATCTGGATGCCGACTCAGCGGTCTAGCTGGTTAAGCGCCTGGCGCGAGACTGATAGGTCCTGGGTTCGAATCTCACGGGGGGCAGGATCGTGGATCTGCACTGCTGAGGAGTCCCATACTAGGACGAAACAGCCGTCCAGTGCTTCCAGGTTTTCCATGGTGGTCTAAGTTCAACTGACTCATGATTTCAACCAGTGACAGGATATTTGTTATTACTTATGATTTGATGAGTAAAGGAGGTTTTTTATAATTTAATGGAAGGAGATTTTGCGGATTGATTTTATTTATAGGTTGTACTTGTTACAGATTTATCTCAATTAGGGCTTAGCATCGAAAACCAGATGATACTAGACGGATGTTTCGTTCCGTTACGGGACTCATCAGCAGTGGATTGATGAAAAGAATTGAAAGCAAGACTTTAAGGTCTCGTGAAAAGCATTTAATCACCCAAACCACAATATATCAGAAACCTGTGATACACATTTCCAACTTTGATTGGTTTTATAGATAACGCGACAATCATCCAATGGTAGATTGTTATATAAGTTCGTCACAGTGTATAGTATCAGGACTTTTTTTAATTTCAGTATGAATATGTGCGTATATTTTTACCGTGTTTACAGGACTTTATACTTAGACTCAGCTCAGTCGATTATACACGGTCATTGGAGTGAATGGAGTCAAGAATATTGGACTGTAAGTTTTCTTTCTATTATTTCTATGTATAGATCATTTATGGTTAATGTGAATCAGTCAGTTAAGGTGATCAAAAAATAAGTTCATATTTTAGAATTATATTAAAATGAATCAGATTTAAACATATTATCAGTTCATAACGTTATTGATTGTTGGTCTTAGGTGGATGTAATGAATACTTTTAGAGACTATAGGACAAGAATCTAATAAAAACACAATGAAAGTGAATATATTGATTTTTTGTAGAACAGTTTTAAGAGTTCCATATCTCTTAAATATTCATCCTCACTTAACAAAATCCGAATTCATTTTACTTATTGGTGCAATGGAATCTCTTGCAGGGTTATGGGTAGATACTACATAGAAGTTTTGGAATTAGAATGAAATATCTATCCGGTACTCATATGTATTTTAGCTTATTTAAAAAGAGATAGGCATTTTCATGTGGTAGTAGTTAAAGAGTTTGTTTGATCAACATAATTTCTAACATTCTATCTTCAATAAATCAAGTGACATTTAAGTTGAGGTTGAATTCTGTGAATATGGGAAAGCTAAACAAGTTTCAGTCTCAACACTGTATCTATTATTTGTCAAATTCGGAACACATACGCTAATAGTATTCTCCGACCTGAAAGTCTGTCAAACAAACACTTGAATACACGTGGGTCTATTTATTCGCATACGTATAGTTGGGTTAGAGCTTACTTGAAGTGGCTATGTAGAGTAGTTCTCGTTATTAATATAATTGTAAAGGCAATATTTCCTTTCTATCTGTTGGAAAGTTGGTTTTCTTTCAAAAGAGTTTATCATCGACTAACTCAGCAAAGATAATATATTTCGGTTAATTGAACATACTTAGAAAGTGTGGAATCTTTAAAGACTAGATGGATTGATGTGATAATTATCCTGTTTCTGCTATGGGAAACAGCTTACAACACTAACCGAATTTCATTCATTGAAAACTGGAGCAGTTAAATTGCATCGCTGTTCGCTTTCAAAGAAGTTAGGATATGATTTGTAATGTATACCAGTTGGTAGATTTACGTGCACCCCAGAAATAAGTTATGTGTGTGGATCTATAAGATAAAGAAGTACAAGAGAGAACATGGGTTAACAAATCAGTAAATACACATGTAGAATGTATTTTCACTAAAAAATGAAAATAAATTATGTTCATTAGGTATGTACGAGCGTCAAATCAAGGCAATTTGGAAATTGAAACTAGCTAATTCGATAACAGTAAGATTTTGAATGCGTTACACAGCTTCTGCTGGTGAAATAACATTGCCTTAGTGCTTTTGTGCATCCTTAATGCATTTAGTTCTGTAGTAAAGCAAGTGATACTGGTATGTTTTCTAAAAATCAAATGTGCGTTGTATATTTGATATCTGTCTGGTCTTGAGCAAGCCATTATAAAACCTAAGAACTAAATGCAAAGTTTGATCGTTAGTAGACTTGCCTTTCAAATGATGTATTCATTAAGTTGTTGGAAACAATCGGCAGGAACCCTTGAACCAAGTTTTCATCAGAAAAACATATCTTTAACATTGAGGTGACTGATGCTCCTTATAAGCTGCGAACCCGAATCATTCAGTTTTACACTCTGACTCGTTACTACTGAGCCATTTGTGCCGCGATCAAACTCCTCTGGGTCATATATTTACAGTTGTTTACTTCATTGATATCATCTCAGGAGGCGGAGTTGAGTGACATAGGCTGTAAACCATCAGAAATTATCATTCTTCTCGAGGTCGCAGGTATTCCTTGCTGACGATTGTCATCTAGCATGAAGCCTAGGTCCAGGACTTCCTGCCAACTACCTATAACCACCTAACAACAAAACATGGTTCAAGTAATGTGGCCATATTGCAACTTAATTGATAGAATATGATCAACATTAGAGACTTGATGAACATGACATAGTCAATACTCGGCGATCAATCGAATTCAAACGTCATATTCGATTAACTAGTCGATTATAAGTTACACATTTCTAATAAATTTTATTTGGTTATTTGCAAGTATTTCGAATAATATGAATCACAGTATGTTTAATAACATTTGGTCATTTTTCAATATCTTCTTTATACTGTTATGCTATCATTTCTCTGTTGTTGTACATTAAAAATTTGACATTTAGGTACGTCGAAGCATTACAATAGCAAAACATTTACGTGATATTGGTGATAATTACCGTGGAGCTTATTTACATTCTAATGATATTTCAGATCGTACAGTATCACCGTCAATAGTTGAACATCTTGGTCCAGGTTCCAGTTGGCTACGTCCACAATGGCCACTTTCACCAGCTCTAGGTGGACCATATGTAGCGGTTCATTGGCGTCGTGGAGACTTTGTTACTACAAGTACTAACGCTACAACAACAACAACTGTTACTACTACTAGTCGATCTCCTAATAATGTTTTAGCAGCCCAACAAATTCTAAATGCTCTCAAGATATTTAATCAGTATCAAGATCATTACATCGATACAATTTATCTAGCCACCGATGCTAATAAAGAAGGTTAGTATTAAAAAAAAAACTTATATGGACAGTAGTGAAGAATATTTATTCATATCTTCATTCTATTCCGTTAGAGGTGGTCATAATAGTAGTAACATACCAAAAATGAAGCCTCCATCTATTAACAATGCAAAATCAACTTGTGTTTTTTATTTATATCACTTGGGAAAAACGACTTCACCATAACGCGTATAGATATGTGTGTGTGGTAACATCTTGTGTAATCAAGTCATTTTTGTTAACTGTTGTGTGAAGAGTTCTCTTTTCAGTGAATTCATTTAAAGCTGTACAATCGTGAGTATATAATTTATTTATCTAGATAGTAATTAATAATTGGTCTGTCAGTACAGGGTTTTAGAGATTGTTGAGTTTCATTGAAATCCTGAACCGAACATCGTTAGATCACCATTATGTCTGTTAATGATGATAATAATAGATTTGCTTAATAATGATAACAGAGAGTTTATATGAATATCTTTATTAAGAAACTGAAAATGTAGGTTGTAATGAGCTTAAATATTTACCAAGATAATGTTAATAGATTAATAATTATAAAAGAAGGCTTAGATCATGTGACAATATGAAATGTTGAATTTCAGATGAACTGTAATCAGAAACAGCATGGAAACAGAAATAAGTTGGTTCGAGGTAAAAGATCAATAATGAGAAGAGATAAGAGGAAAGATGTGATGACATTAGATTAGCATTTTGGAAAATATGTATACATCTTGAATTGTATAGCTTTGAAAATGAATTCGGATAAAGGAGAACTCTTCTCTGAATCAATCTCAATCGGTATATTTTATTTATTTACTTACTTACGCTTGTTACCTTTCGTGGTGGAGCGTAGGTAGCCCACCAGCATTTTCCAACTTATTCTGTCCTCCATTCTCTTTTCCAGTTTTTCTTCCAATTTCTATTCGTTCTCTCTATGTCTGCCTTTGATTCCCGATGGAATGTGTTGCTTGGTTTGCCTCTTTTCCCCCTGCATTGGCAAATCCAAGTTAGGGATAGCCTGGTGATGTAGTTTGGTCGTTTCGGCAATCTGTATCCTATCTACCTCCAGCATCTTTTCCTAATTTCCTCATCAGCTGGAAGCTGGTTTGTTCTCTGATACTTTAGGTTGTTTTTTATATCTGGTCAAGGATCTTGAGTATCTTGTGTGAACAACTTTTATAAATGCATGTACCTTTTTGATGACGGTTATAATAGTTCTCCAAGTCTAACCCCGTACAATAGAACTGTCTTAATGTTAGTGTTAAAAATCCTGACTTTGATGTTGATTGACAGATATTTTGAGTTCCATTTACTTTTTACCAAATATCACCGTTTTAAAAAAAGCCATAAAATAACTGCACAGCTATATTTGATTAAACAAAATTAATGATCAGTTAGTTGTATATAGAATATAATTCTTAATTAGGAAAGTCAATTTACTGGTTTATACTACTTTTACATATCGAATATAGAGACGTTCACTTTAGGTAAGTTGAGAAAAGCTTTCTGCAGCAAATGTTTTACACCTAAACCAATGTGTAGCGGAGACCCACACTATCAGTAATGTTATATACTTCATCGATATACCAACACTAAGATATTGGTTGATACTTTCAAAGAATCCTATTCAGAAGGAGCCTAAGAAGGCTATCGTTTATGCAATCATGTTGTTTAAGATTTACATTTATTTCCTCCTGAGAGGGTCACAGTTACTCACATGGATTTATCACGTTTTGTATGCTCCAAGATAAAGATGATCAAGCACAGAGACTTGCCAAACACCCTCAGCTCAAAGGAGTCAAGTTCCATAAGTATTAACTTGATCAGATTAAAATAACTTGGAGAAATTCGACCATTGAAAATATAAAGTCTACTTGGTCTGAAGACGTTTATTAATTTTAAGTTATAATATGTTGAGTGTGCTATTGTGTGATACTTCAAAACTACTGATATTATGTAATAGAAGTAGTATATTTTTGAACCATCATTTTATTTATTTTCTATTACATTTATTCCATATCTAGAACTAGAAAATCTGAAAAGTTTACTTTATCCCCTTCAAGTATTTCATTTTGAGCCAACTGAATCCGAGTGGATATCTTATGGCCCAGGTGGTTCAGCAATTATAGATCAATGGATTTGTGCACATGCTAGGTATTTTGTCTGTTAAATACAAATTTTTACACTTTATAAGGATTTATATTTTATCATTATTAATATTAAGGCGTGAATTTCGGTTACTTTTAGTTGGTATATGTGAATTCCTTGATATTTTCTCTTTCTACTAACTTTCTTACGCCTGTCACCCCTCATAGAGCAGCATAGACTGCCTACTAGGATTCTACAGCTAATACTGTCCTCCACTCTCCTTTCCAGTTGTTTCCAATTTTTACTTATTCTTTCGATGTCTGCCTCCAGTTTTCGATTCAATATGTTTTTAGATCTTCCTCTTTTCCTTTTCCTTTCAGGATTCCAAGTTAGCACTTGTCTCGTGATACAGTTTGGTGGTTTCTTCAATGGACGTTCCATCCACCTCCAGCATCTTTTTCTAATTTCCTCCTCAACTGGAAGTCCATCTGTTCGTTTCCACAGTAGGCTGTTGTTGATAGTATCTGGCGAACTGAAATTGTGTGATCTTGTGTAAATAATTGTTCAGAAATACTTGTACCTTTCTGATGATAGTTGTAGTAGTTCTCCAAGTTTCAGCTCCGTGTAGTCGGACTAACCGACTTGACTCTCATATTGAAGATTGTTACTTTGATGTTGGTTGACAGTTGTTTTGAGTTCCATATGTTCTTGAATAGTAGGAATGCTACCCTTATTTTGTTAATCCTTGACTTTACGTCTGCATCAGATCCTCCACGCTCAAAGACGATGCTACCCAGATACGTGAAAGTTTCCACCTCTTCCACAGTTTCTCCATCAAGTATGATGGAGTTGGTGTTTTCTGTGTTGTATTTGAGGATGTTGATTTTTCCCTTGTGTGTATATTTAGGCCTACTGATGTAGAGGCTGCTGCTACAATAGTTGTCTCCACCTGGATCTGTTGATATTTATGGGATAGATGAGCTGGGTCTTCCTTTTACTAGTTATAAGTTGTTTAGAAAAGACTGATTGTAGCTAGTAGAGGAATCTAAAATGCATATTTATTTCTATTCAGGCCTTTTCAGTTGGATCTACATGTAACTTGTTGCTGAATTAGTTTCTTTTGATGCAATAATTGTTGTAAATGAAGTCGTGGGTTTATTTAAATTAATTTTATATTTACTTTTACAACACTTAATACTTCTCCATAGATCATGAGTGCATTTATTACTCAATGAATTATAAGAACTGACTGAAGATATTTCTGGGTCTAACCATAGTTTCTATTGTTTATTTGCAAGCGTCTATTTATAAGATGAACGTGATGAAATTAGGGTGTTGTTTTTTTGTGGAGCTTTCTTACCTTTTAAATGAATAAAATTCACGATATTGTGTGACCATCGTCCATTGCCTTCACTGGATAAATCTCTAATACCTGACATAGTTGATCGCACAATATCATGAATGTCATGAAGTTAGATAGTAACTAGCGGTTTAGAGTTTAAGTGTATGGGTGCGAGATCGGAGGTTCTGGGTTCGATTGCTCGATGCAGATTTGCCGATAAGCATTGCTGATGAGTCTCGTACTAAGAAACAATAGTCCATTACTTTTAGGTGTTCAATAATGGTCTAGCTAAGATCGTTTCATGATTTAAGAACTATGAAAATTCAATAGTCTCTACAAAGCCATATGCTGAGAATAATGTTTAGCGATTATATTTTTCTACACTCTTTAACTTTTTCCATATTATTTCTAAATAGTCTTTTATGTGCTACATCGTGTTTAGAAAGAAGTATGGTAGGAATGATAAGATTTGGTTTCATTTCTACTTTTTTTCTGTTTATCGATCAGGTTATCTTTGTAAACTGATAGAACACGTAGTAGTTCATAATGAGTATTATATAATTGAAATCTAATCACAATATTGGTTAATCACTTGTTGTCAATCAAATTGTGAAACTATAGATCACATTATTATATCATTTTAAACACTCATATGTATATATTTGTGTACCCAAATGAAGCTGACGATACTGTTTATTGTTATACAGTTGATAAGAGGCAAATTATTCAATAAAATTGCAGTTTAAAAACTGTTTGACGATGATATAAAAGTTTCATTATTTCAAATTTTTATTTATACTACTAATTAGACTGAATAATTCTGTTAATTAAATTATACGGTTGTTTTTTCAGATCAATTAACGCAAATCATTCAGTCATTTTTTTAAAAATATTTTGATTGCATGTTGGTCAGTAAACGATAACTATATTCCCACTTAATAATAAGTTTTTAAAGTTATAGTTCAAAGATTTTTCTGGTGATATTCAGATAGAGACAGGTATCTAACTCATACAATGAAAGATGGTTGCGCAAATTTGCTGGATTGGTTCAAATTAGATATTAACATCGTTGGATGCTGACTCAGTAGTCTAGAGGTTATGCACTCGCGCACGAGACCGATAGGTTTTGGATTCGAATCTTGTGAGATGGGATTATGAATGCGTACTGTTAAGGAATCATAAAATAGGACGAAACATTCAGCCAGTGCTTCCAGGTTTTCCATGATGGTCTAGCTTCAATTGAATCATGATTTCAACTATTGAAATTACTATAATATCCACCCCTTCTGATATATATATTTTTTAAAAAAAGTGTTATCTAATCAATGAAATGAAATTTAAACAACTAAGCGTAATCTAAAAAATTTCTACAGTAATAATCATATGTTTAACTAAAACAAATTTATTCGAAGAGGGGGGGGGCGGGAAACCTTTCCCCCCTTCTCTCTTTGTTTCAATAATTGTCCAGAATAATGATAATGTACATGACTGTTTTTTTTTAAAAAAATTTTTCCACTATTTCTTAATATCTCCATATTGTTCAATGGTGAAATATCAATCAATGTATGAAAATAATAGAAAAAAAAATGGATTGTTTTATATCCAAAATTACTTTGTATTTACCATTCATGATTGTTATTATTTTTTTATTTTTTTCATTTTTTGTTTTAGAAAATTCAATTCGATTGTTTTTTTTTCTGCCAATTTTGTTTATATTCAATTCAGATTTTTCAATAGAAAGTGATTGTGACATTTTGTATCTAAGTATTTCTATATGTAACTTTATTAAATTTTATTGTAATATCAGAAGTGGGTTGAAGTGAATGGTATTGGATTTGAGTCCCAGAGTGAACATCAACTCTCTGAGATGTAGGTACATCTAACTGACCAGTCCGAAATAGGACGAAATGCGCGTCGAACTGGATTCCACTGCTAGCCACTATCAATTATTGCTTACAAAAGGCTTGTAAATTAGGGCAATATCGAGGCATACGCACAGTATGCATATATGCCAATAACAGACTGATCAATTGCAGTCTTAAACCTCAATGGGAAAATACAAGCCAGATAATACCAAGTGAATCAGAAGGGGGTGTTTTGTAGATATGATAGTCATTTTATTTTAATCGTTAAAATGATAAGTTAGATGACTATGGTAAGTTTGAAAGTCAGTCACTCAGCTACAAAGTAGGACCAGGCACATATATGCATCGGTCGAAGTTGCCATACCTCATTAGAACAACAAGATGAACACCGGATTCATAGGAGTGGTTAAGTCAATAGTGGTAATATATTAAAGAAAGATTGTTTACAAAGACATAGTACACAAAGAAAGAATCAGTTCGTAGAAAAAGAAAGAAGCGATTTTAACCTCACAGTTTATGGGAAGACAGGGAGTGTATACACCTATGCCATTGTGATCGATTCTGAACCATGTCACTCACAGTCTTCAACCGTTAGTTACAATAGTCACGCGGACACCAACCAAGTAGTTTGAATCTACCAACATGGCTCAGACTAGAAGTTAGTGACTGTGTGGACTGATACCACGTTTTGGTTTGATCACCCCTTCATTTCTTCTAACCATCTCCAACATCGGTTAGCATTGCACGTCATGGTAATCGGTGTTCAGGTATACGTAACGTAAATTTGACAGTAATTGAATGATCATTTCATCTTATTATAAGACTTGTCTAATAATTCCAAATAAATCATCAATACACATATGCATAAAATAAATCTTGTCTATAAACTAGTTTATGTAATAATTTTTATTCAATTAATTAATAAATTATAATAATAATAATTACAATGATAGTTAATTATTATTAATTAGATATTCTATTTTAACTCTTTTTTTTAACATTCTTTTTATTGATTTCTGTTCAAAAGATAATGATTATGATTAGTCTTGGCATGAAACAATATCATTCAATGAAATAAATATATAATAAAACTATATTTGGTTTACTCGGTTACATTATCATTTTAACATGTTGAATTATCTTCTATAATATATATGTATATTATGTCCGAGTGAAGATTAAATCACAAGTAACTTCTGTTGAGACCTTTTAATGGACTAATATTATCTATACATTCTTATGGTATAACTATTCAATCATAAGATTATGTATATTTATATTCCTCTTATCATGAGCTTTATTTTGACCTCTATATTATTATTGTACGATTTACGGTTCTTAAGTTAGGTTCAGTTTATTGACTACTGCCTCCCACGTTCACAGTCACGTTTTGACTTTATTGTGTACAAATGTTATTTCCTATTTTATGGTGCATTGCGGTCTGTTTGTTTGATATATAAACCCAGTATGTTTGAAATGAACGATTCGATTCGATTCGCATAGTGGAAACTGACATTGGTGTTCTGGACTCAAGTGGACGGGCTAGGCGGACATACGGCCAATAAGGACGTTAGGCTGCCCATACAGGTCGAACCTCATTGGTTCTGGTACACTGCTAAGATTGTATAAGTCGTATTTTGATTGGTGGATAAATCACGTGAGAAAAAGCCCTACATAAAGTCATAACAATATACATTATCCAAATACAATTTTTATGGTTTGGTAATATATATTAGTCCACCGGAGTGCTTGATACCTGTGTGGTTGCACCACAGGATTGAGCTATACTATTCAGATTTTACCGTTAAAGTTTATACGGTTTCTGGTTCTCCAGTGAAGAGGGATTGAACTGTACTGCTTGGGTTATAAAATTTAAGCCTGAGCGGTGTCTGGCTCTCCTATTGAAAGAGATTGAACTGTACTGTTTGGGTTGTCACATGAAAGTCTGGATGGTGTCTGATTCTCCTGAAAACCAATGTAAAATTAGCCTGGCCCATGACGGCACAATAATATAACTATATATATATATCATTAGATAGGTTGGGAATGCCAGTTACAGTAGAGTAAAGTCAACTGTATATGTACGTGTATATATGTGACACATCTACTATAATCTTCCCATTTCTCATTATTTCTTGTTCTCCGTTTATCTTTTCAATTCTAAATTTCTTCTTCACTTTGATTTATGTTTATTGTGATCATACTCGTAAATGTGTTACTTGGTGCTTTGATCGCCTTGAATGACTTTCAATATTGTTTCTTTATCAATAATCATAATCTTTACACATTATAATTGATGATTATTGTTGTTTATAAATATAAAGACTTTGTTTCTTTGATCAGATTCAATTTAACAAACACAATAGAAATAATTATATGCTTTTTCTTCTTTTTTTATAGTTAAATTCTGTCTATTATTTACTAGAAACACATAATATTACTCTAAGTATGGTTCTCTTATATTTTTTTTCGTTGTTATCTATTCATACTACTCATTTACTACTACTGTAGTGAACAGAACACGGGGGGACAATGTATTTAACACAAAATTACAGGACTTGTTAATAAAATCTAACAATCATGAAATGCTTAATTTGGAAAATGTCCACCAATGGTCTCAAAATGACTCAGACTTCACTGTTCTTGCATTTTCATACAGATTGCATTCTGTTTCCGTTCTTTACTGTTCGATCCTCTTGTCTCTCTGCCGCCAAACCTTTTGTTCACGACTAACATTATATACTACTTATGTCAATATAAGTAGCACACACCACACTACTACTACTGTTACTATTATTATTATTATTATTATTATTATTATTATTATCACTAGAAAATTAATTATAATTGCGAATATTCAGTAATTCACTGATTTTTGATTATTTTTTTTTAGAAAAAAATGTCATAAAATAGAATCTATATGTAGTTGATTCCATTGTGTCCCATGGCAACTAAGTTAATTTATAGGATTATACAAATTATAATTTAATTTTTATTTCAACATTTCTTTGCTTTTTTTTGTTTTGTTTTGTTTTGTTTTTCAGTAAAGTTGAATAAATTTAATTCAGGTTTATTATGTTAGTTAATATTGGCAGTTGTTTAGAACTTTAATTATAGATAAATGATAATAGACTATGATATTTTCTCATTCTTATCATCATAATAATAATAGTTTAATCAGTGAGATAAAAGGCTTTTTTTTAGTATGTATATATTCACTATTGATAGGTTGATGGTTTTATTGAGTTTTCAATGTAACACATTAAAGCTTGAAATAGAATGAAATGATTATTTAGTGGTAAATCATTCGAATTTTTTTTTTCAATTACGTTGAAATGTCTGGAGTTGATCAGTCTTTATTGATATATACTTACTTACGCCTGTTACCCTTTGTGAAGGAACAAAGGCCGCCTACTAGCACTCGCCATCCAACCATGTCTTGGACAATACTTTCCACTTCTTTTCAGTTTCTATATATCCTTTTCATATCTCTTTCTATTTCCCGACGTAATGTGTTCTTTGGCCTTCCTCTTTTTCGCTTCCCTTCAGGATTCCGAGTTAGAGCTTGTCTTTTGATGCCGTTTGATGATTTCTGTAATGTATGTCCTATCCATTTCCATAGTCTTTTCCTAATTTCCTCCTTAACTGGAAGCTGGTTTGTTCTATCTCACAGTAGGCTGTTGCTGATGGTATCCGGCCAATGGATGTTGAGTATCTTCTGAAGACAATTATTTATAAATACTTGTACCTTCTTAATGATGGTTGTTGTAGTTCTCTAAGTTTCAGCTTCGTACAATAGAACTGCCTTGATGTTCATATTGAAGATTCTGACTTTGTTGTGGATATCAATATCT